TGCCGCCATTCCCTTCTTTCATTGGTTCTCCAGGAGGGAATTTCCGAGTAGGACTAGACTTATGGTCATCATTCTTGGGTTTAGGTGTCGTTCCATCAGAGGCGTTCTGCGAGCCCTCGACCACTTTGGATGTAGGTTTTGGTCGCTCTCCTTCCCAGGGAAAGCGGTATGCAGAGGTCACTTGATAGGTACGAAGCCACGCCACCAGTGAATCATATTCAACATCCAATGGGGATAACTTCGTTGTCTTAAATAGACAGAATAAGCCGTCGAAAGTGATCGTCCAACGTTCTTGAGTATAACAACCGCACGCTGATATGGAGAAGGATGAGTTGCCCGAAGGTAAGAGCAAACATCAGTGAGGTTGCGGAAAGCCTTCGTCTCCCGTAAAAGGAAGCCGTCCAAATTCTCATTCTCACCCTGCTTGATCCCTCGCCACTCACGATAGGCCGCGTCGTAGCTGATACATGGTATTTCTCCAAGAGTCAGGTGAGCGAGGATTGAACACAACAGCTGTTCCCACGCTTTTCCCCATATCACATCATCAGTAGATCTCAGCCGAGCCAGCGCCGCTTCTCGTTGCGCTGAAGTAGGAGCTTTCCATTTGGGACCACCACCTTCTCTCAGGTCATTGAGGTTGCTGAGGAAGGAGTCGGAATATGGAGTATCAACAAAAAAGGTGATGGCAGCATCTATCCGTGGTCGTCTCGAGCTCGGCTCATCGGGTCGTGAATAGTAACAGATTAATACTGCCGCTATGAGGGCTGCGTCCATAGAGTGGTAGTTCTCCAACTCCGACACGAACTCTCGTAAGGCCTTCAGGAATGCCGTCCCCTGGCTCTCCGATAAGGACTTGTCCCAGCCTTTAGCAACATATCTGCTTAGACTCCACGGTGACTTGGACCACGTCCACCATCTAATGTCCTCGTAACCACACCATTGAGCATACTGAGTTGCCGCCAGGATCTGGTTGATCACAGATTCCTCACGGCGAGCATAACCCACAGGATTGAGGACTGACTCCAGCAGTTTGCGGGCCGAAGGTCGTTGGTGTATAGCCTCCACGGATCCCTCTTTGATGACGGCGCCCTCGTCGATATCCTCGACCCTATCTCCATCCCCAGCATTGACCGATTGGTACTCCTGGGCCTCAGAGCTCTCCGCTTGTGGTAGGTTCTCCTCCTCAGCGGTACCCAGTCTCTCCTCGGAATCCTCCGACGGTGGGGGTGCAGGTGTGGATGGGGTCCTCCGGGGGGTATTACGACGTCTATTAGTGCGCCTTGGGCTCGTCATCGTTCGGCTGATGGTCTAATAACTCGGTTATTCTTGATGTAACCTCTTAACTCAAGTTCTGGATCTTTCGCTGTACCGGTATTATGGGAGTAGACTGATAGGTAGAATATCAGGCGTACGAGTCCAATAACCGAGTTAATGGAATGACAACTAACATGGATATTCGTATTAGGACGGACTGATAATAGGTTGGACTATACGACTATGACGCGAGCACAATGAACGGAACATAGCGAATTGTGATCGTAAAAAGCGCTCGTCTTAATAATCGATAACGTTCAAGACGGAT